AGGGCCGGTGTCGCCGCCGCCGCCATGCCCAAGTACTACGAGGATAAGGAGGAGGACGGGCGGGCCTGCGGGGGGGTGCGGGAGGACCTGCGGCAGTGCCTGCTGGAGAGCCCCTGCGTCCTGCAGGTGAGCGCTGCCGCACGCCCGGGAAAAAGCCCCGTAGCTCTCGGCCCCGCCTCGCTGCTCCCCCCGCTTAAACCCCGAGGGAAACGGTGTCTGAAGCATTTTTGTGTCTCTCTGGCAAGCTGCAGAAATCCACTAAGTCTTTAATCCTTCATTTTTCACCTCACAGGAAAACAAAACCCCTAAACAATGTTTGAGGGAAGGGCACTGTAGGAGTTTGCAAATGACATTTTTTGCGTGCAAAAGATCAATGGTAAGTGCTCGTGGTGTATTTTCTTCTGCTAGCGGCCTGGTTGCTTTCCGTCCTTTTCCCCGCTTTCTGAAGAAAACCTCTTAACCGCTTTAGTTCAGTAAAACTGGTGTCATTAAGCAGAATAGGTCTTGCCTTTGAATTCCATTTAAAATACGGATGTTGTACACGCTTCTCATGAAGAAAAACTTGTGTGAACAAGAGGAGGGGGAAGTGTATTTAAATTGAATTAGGCTTAGCATGTGACATGTCAACGAGGTATGTATTTTTACTAGTTTTTTTTTAGTAAAGCTTTGGTTTCAACAATATTAGTAGATCAAGTGAGAGATTGACAAGCTAATTTTTGTCTATGAAGAAAGAACATTTAAGTGAAAAGAATGACCCACTGAAAGAGATTTCCACTGTTGAAGCAGGCTCTTGCATCGTTAATTTTCTTGGAAGGCTTGAATTCATGGTAAAGAACAGTTTGGGGTTTTTTATATAGTGGGGTATCAAGTAAGCCAGTTGTAAAAATGTAATTAGATAAAGTTTCCTCAATTTTGGTAGGCATTCATTGCCTAGAAACATCTTGCTTGTGTTTCCATAACATGTAAAAAATAGTTAAGGCATGGCAAAGATGGTATTAGAACTTTCTAAGCATGAATAGTGCCGGGCTCATTTTTATTTTTAGCCGTTGTGATACATAATGAAGAATATGCAGCTGAAACTGTACCTAAAATTTTCCTTCCATTCCGTATTTTTGCTTAAGTCACAGCAGCTTTTTGTAGCTTTCCTATATGAACTGTATTAATCCATAAAGTGAGAAATTATTATTTCTGTGGACAGAAAAAAATGCTGTGTATTTAATACTTTAAATCCCTATTTGATGCTGCAGTAGCAATATATGTATCTCCAGATGATAGGCCTGTATTTCTGTCTGTAGGTGGTTAAGCAAGCCTGATGAAACTAAGTTTCATGTGGGAAGAGGCCTGGCTCTTACATGATTCTATTTAACTGCTCCAAATTCTAAGGCTGAAGAATGGCATCTTTCTTGTCCTGTTAACTCTGTAAATTTCAATAATTGTGCTCTGCCAAATTTCTTACTTGGTATAATAGTGAGGCTTAAAGAGTATTTAAAAACAAGTTAAACACTAAATGCAGATATAATTTATAACATGCTAAAATAATTAGGGATTGTTCTTAGATGCTGTTTTCTTTGTAAGGAAATACAATCTCTTATCAGAGGAGTAAACTTCAGTACACGTTAGATATTAAAGTAGGAACAAGGTTTAAAGTGGAAGCTGCTTGATTATTGGACAAGCATCTTGCAGTTTAGGTCTTTACAAATTTTGCTGCAGTTCTGAAAGAGGGTTAGTTAAAGGAGGTAAAAGATGTGTTCTCCATCTAATATCTGAATACGGCTGAATTGCAATCTGTAACTGCCGTCTTCAACACTGACTGTCTAAATTCAGAAGAATTCTCCCAAGATCAAAGTATGTTTTTCTGCTGCGCTGGGAAAGAACTTGCAATTTAGTTTCAGTAAGTCCTGCACTGTAGCTGTTACTTTAGATTTACTGCCATTTTTTGTCTGCCATTAAATGCTTTTTTGTAACTGCCAAGAAGAAACTTGCAGCTTTTACAAGCTGAATATTATTTCAGTTTTTACTGATTTTTTTTTTTTTCAGACACTTGTTGTATTTAAGTTATCCCTGTCCTCACTGACATTTGCAGTGACTCCCACTTCAGCCCAATCTGAATTTTCCTCCTTCAGCTTGTCAGTTAAGTTTGGAAAAACAGATCTAAGTAGATTTACACTACCCTGTTTTCGTGTGTTCCTTGCCATCCCACTATGCTGTTCTGTCACTTGCATTGTTACACTGCTTATTTCAGAATGCACAGGATGCTTATCACGTAATTTTAATTTTGGGTGAGATGTTAGGTAATACAATGTTTGTTTCCTTTGGACAGCCCTATGACTTGTTGTCTACATCACTAATTTTCTTTACAGTGACTTCTGCTTTACTCTGCGCTTTCTTCTGATGTTACAAAGTGCTAAGATAGCACAAGCACTCTAAAGTATTTCTTTTGCAAAATGAATGGTTTTAATATATTTACTTCAATTTTCAGTTGGATACCAGGGCAAGATTCAGAGGAAGGAAGGGATACTGAAGTCCTCGTGAAGAGACCCAGCCATGGGAAATCAGGGTTCATCAGCACTTTAAGCAAAACAGAGACTAAAGAAAGAAGATTGTATCTGCTGCATCCTTTCATGCAGTATTTTCGTGGAAGGTATCTACTCTTGAGTGTTCCGATAGATTGACCTGGATGTGCATTTAAATGTTAAAAAGAAGGCAAGCATAAAACTGCAAGTTCTGGCCAAAATGGGTACTTGCTTGCAAAATGTCATGTGCTTGCAATAAAATATGTGAAATCCGGAACAGGCTGCAGAAGTTATCATTGTGTTTTGAAGTGAAGTTTTTTGTGGTTTTACTAATTCTGATCATGTTTTACCATTACAAATAATACAAGATATGGAACTGGGAGTTCACTCGACAGGTATCCCAGAGGATAGCTCAGGATAGAGCTGTTTCCAGAGGTGACGAGTTGACCAAGGTTGTGAAATGTATCTGCAAGCTGCTTCCTCCCCAGTAGGTTTGTTACCCAACAAACCTGCACTGATAGGTAGGAGTGGCGATGTTTTTGCAGTCCCACATGTGCAAGGATGGCATCTCTTTCCTCTTGCTACAGATTCCTTTTAATGTGATGATTGATTTACGTGTTTATTAGCACAGTCTACTCTCATTGGACAACTAGATTAAAATTTGGCTACTCTAATTAAAGGATGTCTGATTTATCTTTCAGTAATCTGTCTTCTCCTTGTATTGACACAAGAGAACTGTAGCATTATTCTAGTCAATGACTTGAAAGCCATATGCCAGGATGTAGCAAATTATGTATCTTTGGATGGGTGAGGAAGGTGTTCCTCAGGCCAACAGTTAAGGAGACAGTGGCTGCTATTACTGTGTTCTAGAAGTATTTACAATAATATTTAAGTTCCTCTGAGATGACCATGAATTATCTTTCTGCATTATTTTCCAAGCAAGTATATAAATACTAATCCAACCATATGTACAAACTAGGGATGATGATCTGGACTTTATTGTGTTTATAGGAAGTTGTGTTCCACAAATTTACTTTGTACTTTGTGAACATTTTTCTTCTTTTTACTTTGCCACTTATCTCTGAATTCTTTGGTTCGCATTTATGTTCGAATTGCCATTCACGTTCATTTAAATTGTAATTAGTTTCTGCTATGTACTTCTGAAAACTTGCTCTTCCTTTAGAATTTTTTTGTGCTTAGTCAAATTTTATATAGTTTCATAAGTTGTAAAACAGCTGCGGTGAAAAAGCAAAGAAATTAATAGAGGAAAATACTGGTTTGCTTTCATTTGATCAAGGATGACTGTGGCAGATCTGTCTGCAGTATGACAGTGTTAACATCTATCACTTAGTCTCTCTTGCCCCACCCTGGTAAGGAAGTGGGATTTATGGGGGTAACAAGCATTAAACAGTGCTTAAAACATAACTGTCGTCAGTGCTTACTCGGTCTGTTTAAGAACTTGTTTCTGAAGAATATTTCTTTTTCCTTCTTTCAGTGTCTCTGCCTCCTTCCCTGCCTTTTGAAGCCCTTAAGAAAGAAATGGTAGTGTAACTCTTACATATGGAAACTGAAATAACTTCAGACAAGCTGATTAGAAACAAGATTAGGAAATAGTGAGAGGGGAGAGAGTCACAGTAACTGCTTTTCTTGGCTAAAGCTTCTAGCCATGTAGCTGATTTACATTTAGTCTGAACAAATGCATGCGATGCTTATTGTTTGTAAAATTGATGACTTCAGTGAATGACTGCATGTTGATTATTTAATTCTGTCTTTCTTAAGCAACTGCTCTGTGATCAAAGTATGTTTATATTCCTTGTATGTGTAGGATTTTATTTTTGCAATCGTAAATCAACACCGATTTCACATTTTCATGTTCTGTTGGTGATGTGAAAGCCAGTTCATTTGTTGAAGTGCTGTAAACTTCCTTTGTTTTCCACAACCCAGTTACCATATTGTCTCTTTATTTATACTAAAATGATAAATTGATATGATGTCTATGAGAGTATTCTTAACTTACCACTCTAATTTCAAAGTATTACTCACAAGCTTTCTCCATATGGGGGGGGAATTAAAGCTACTTGGCAGGTAATTAAATGCCTGTTAGAGAGAAGAGTGAGAATGGTACGTGATTTGGGCAGTCAGGGACTCTTCCATGGTCTGCCCTGACACAGGGAACTATAGGCTTGGTGCTTCAGGTGATCTGTCCCTTTCTTGGCCATAATCACTGAGCCTCGCCTAATGGTGCTGCAGAAACTCCTTTTGGAAAGGAGCAGGCAGATAACAGATCATAGACAGATAATTAATTAAAGTTATTTTTAGGAATTGGCTCGTTTCGGTGGAGATCAAGTGTGAAAATTAAATGCAGTGTTTGCTATCAGGCATTTAAGGATTTAATAATTAATTTAACAGAATACTTGTATTACTTGATCCAATAGAATCCCTTAGTGTCGGAACTTCCTAATGGTTCACTAGGCTATCTAGGATGGTATAAAAATACATATAATACGTATCTAAATACTGACTTGCTCGAGAGACTATCATTGTTCAATTCTGGTATTGTGTAACATAATATTCTGCCTAAAAATGACTAATGATATAATTGCCTTGGGACTTTGAGCACTGTCCTACTTGAGAGCTATTAATGTTTCTTGTATGAAAACCAATTTGTTTCCTTAATGGAAAGTCCTAAGTACTATAAATTTGTGTATATGATTCCAGCTTTTTTCCTAATACACAAAATGTTTTTATTTGAATATATTGATACTTTTAAGTCTCATGTCTTGTGCTACATCACTGGCTTTTATTGAAAAAATACACGTTTCTAATCTATGGTAGGTTTTGCAAGATTGAACGTGTAATGTATTTGAATCTGTGAAATTAGACTGCTGAAGACAAAAGGTGGAAATGGCGCTGAAAGGCTCTTACTGGTTTTAGAATCACAAATATATGCAGTGCTAATAATTTGTATTGAGTAAGTACAGGACACACTTTGCAAAAACCTTTTGCTGCTGCTCTAATTTCTCCCATTTGTTTTACGTGGTGGCAGAGTCAAAGGGTGCTGAATGCTGTCGAGATTCCTGTCGCAGACTGTGGCTCCATCAGTGTTAGGACCTGTCTGTGTTCCTGCATCTAGTTTAATCAATTAACATGTTCTCTCTGTGGTCCGATCCTGCAAACACATTAATATTTACACAGCTGTAAACACATATTGCAGAACTACTCACATGTTTATTATGATAAAAATAATAGCCCATAGTCATTTACTCTGGTTTGAAAATTCTTCAGGTCACTAACTGTTCTTTCAAGTTAGTATGAAGTGATAAACATCTTGTTTAAGCAAAATCTGTTTAATGAAGGCCCATGTGTACATATATTGAAAAGTGAGATAAAGGGGTTGGCGTTTAACAAGTATGCATGCATTTATTATTTGTTATGCATCTTAAAAGGAAAGACAAAGCATCTTTAAAAAAAAAAAAAACCCAATCACTTTTGAAAGCTTTTCTGCTTCCAGAATGTGTGCATTTGTATTACAAAGAGCTTCATTATTCACTGGCTGGCGTAAGAAATTGGTTGTGTATTCTCTCTCCGCTTTTAAGTTTTTAGGGGGTAGCAGGTTGGATGATATGCTTTTTTCCAAAGCAAACTTTAAAAATAATAATATTTATTTCAGTGGAAGCCTGGAACAAACTAGACTGACACCTTCTGCTCATAAGAAGAGCACTAAGTGAAATCATCTTCTAAAAATGCAGCCACAGAATGTAGGTGGTAAGCAGTATCTGTTGTTTAAGTCTTTGGATGGAAAGCTTAGAAATACAGAACTGTAGCAGCTTTGTTGACATGATGAATTTCACAAGTGCTCATGCTGCCTTAGCACTTGATATGTGGTCATTTAGAATATGTGTATTTATTCTAAATATGCATCTCATTGTCTAAAGCTGAAGGGCATGACAGTTTAGTTTCCATCATAAGTGTAGTTGACAGAATAGTAACCAGAAACCTTAAGATCCTTTCTCCTTTTTCTTTTTCCAGATGTGCATGCTGAATTATTTGTCTGGCATGGTTTTGCTGCAGATATCTTCAGAAAATTATTAACTAGTTATTTCTGTAACTTCCTGATGACTTGGTTGACTCTCTGTAGGAAGAAAATTCTGTAAACATAGAAAGCACCTTCTTGAAGTGGACTATGCTGTATTTTCAGAATTTGCAGTAGGTTGATTAATAATGTCCTTAAATGTTGAAAGGAGAAGAAGCAACAAGATTAGCATTTTAATAGCTGCTTAATGATGTCAGTAGCAGGTGATATATTTCAAATAATGTATTTTAGTAGATAAATATTGAAATTATTTTTCACATCAAGCTGAGGTTTGTTTGTCCTGATGAAAGCTGTCATGTTCTTTCTTTGCGCATAGGTACTAATGGGCTGCAGTGAAATGGAAGAGAATAAATTCTTAAGGATTTTTAGTAACAGAGGAAATGATACAAGCAAATCTCTGTGACTTAGAACAAGATAACCAAAACTATTTTTGCAATATTGCTACTGTTAACTTTAAAAGGAGCTAGGGAAAAAACAGTGAATATAGAAATCGGTTTGTAATTCATAAGTTTCAATGATAAGCTGTGCTACTGTAAAATTGCATTGTGTTGTCCCTCATTATCATGAAGGGTGAGGAACATAGAATTTTTCTTTTCATCCAATTTTGGCAGGAATTTTTAAGGCTTTTTTGGTGAGGGAAGTTTTGAAGTCTTTCTGGTACATAGGCTACAGAGGTCTAATATTTGTTAGATACTGCTTTGCCTCAGGCTTTTGATTTTGTATCAGCCATACCTCTCTAGTGGCTGCAACTGGATGGTTTCTGGAAACCTGGGTGAGAAGAAATCTGTTACAGGTCATCACATAGCTAGCATACTGGGGAAGATGAGGGTAAATAAAAACTGATTATCGGTTGTCTAAAATTTTGCATTGGTTGATATAAAGACAGAAACTGCATAAAGCCCTTTCTCAGCTGAGACTGGACATCTGGTGAAGTGTCCCTTTCTTCCTGCTTTATATTAGCAGTTAAGGTAAGAGAGTTTAACACCCTTCATCTAGTCTGACCTTCTGTGAAGGTTAAGTTTTTATGCTAGAGAAAGGCATTGACTCTTGAGAAAGGCATAAAATGTAATCTATGTCTTCATTTGATAGTATATTTCGATAGCTAGTAATCCCTCTGTTAAAGTGCATGTCTGTCTTGTGATTAGAATTTGACCTCAGTTTCCACTTACAGGAAAAAGGAAGGGGATGGCTCTGCAAAA